AAATATGTTTTCTTAAGATTTTTTAATATGAACACTTTTTACATATACGTTTATTTTCATAATATTACGGACAGAGAAAAAACCAATAAATAAGTATTATAACAAATAAATAAGTGAAAGGTACTAATTCTGTAGTCTTATTTAAATAACCATTAAACCTGTAAAGAAATTTTGGTTTGGATACAAAGCCAAAGGTACCCACGGCGCGTCCTATGCCATCCTCATACTTTGTTAATTTAGAAAAAGAAACTAATAAATTAATACATATTTTCGTTAAGCCTACAAACCGGAAATAACAAAAAAAAAAAAGAATACAGCAGGTACGGTACATTTGAATGCATGTATGTAATGTATGTATTTATGTATTATGTATTTCATTATTTTCTACGTCGCTTTATAAAAATCTGTAGAGGGGGTTGTTCTTGTAACTATTGTTCGGGTAGAAAACCAGCAAATTAACTCGTTGTACACAGTACATACCAAAATAATAAACGTTATATACTTGTCACCATTGAAAATATAGACCCAAAATATATTTTGAATTCGTTCATTAAAAATGAAGAAGGCCAAGCTTGTAGGTACCTAAATTATTATTACATACGTAACAATTATTATTTTTTACGTATCTTTATGCAGTTGAAAAAATATCTTTGCTATTGAGACCTTTTTTGCGTCAATTTTCTTTGTATGTATTTTATGTAAGTATATATGTTGTTATAGGTATCTAATAATGCGTAAAGTTGTTCATTTTTAAAACACATTAACAGAAATTAACTTTAGAGAGTACGCAATTTTGAAAAGAAATGCTCTGCTGTTTTTTCTCTATAAACACCGTCATGCTAGTACATTTACGAATAATTAACAGACTTGTTCAAGAGCAATATCAAAGTTGCCAAAAAATATTCACCTATTCTCTTCTTCTTTTTTTTTTCTGAATGTAAGCGTAGCGTCAATATTACCCTCGATTCATTGAAATAGGTACATTGAATAGAATGTTTAGCTTAATGTTTTTTTCAGCATATTACATATAATAGGTAGAAAGCATTTGTACACTTTTAAAACAGCAAATATTCTTAAATACAAAGCATTCACATTATAAACAAACGGCAATTATCTACACAAAATAAATTCGAAACGATTAGAAAATTTGATACAAATTCTTCAGAGTAGGATGTTACCGTTTTTAGTCACCCAATTGGTTTCTTTTTGATTCCCTTTCTAAATAATTGAAACGATAAAATAGTTTTAAAAAATGCTTTGTAATAAGAATAATTTCGCATTTTTTTGTTTTTACGAATTACACAATCGAAAAGTAGCAATAATATCGAACACGAACAACAAACAGTGTTCAAAACACAATATACACACACATCTAACATATTGCTTTCTGTAATCAGTCTAAAGTCAAAATTCGATTTCTTATTCAATAGGTAGGTACACGTTAAAAAAATAGTTACAAATAAATTAAATCGTCTACGAATCCGTTGGCTTCAACAAATCAACTCTTTTCTAATCAGTACTTCCGATGATAATAATAAAAATATACCTCACGTCAAAAATAGACATGTAATTTGTTGAAACGGCAACAACTAACTAACCGCTAAATAATTACAAATAAATAAACATTTAAAACTTAACAGAATAGAATTTACACAGCAGGAATTTCTTAGGTACATTCGATAATGTGAGGTTGTGACGATTCTATGACGCTTGGCCTACTCTCTTTGCCGGGATGATGCGACGTTTGAGGAGGAAGCCGTTGAGGCCCTGTTTGTAACGTTGACGGCGTCAGAGACTTGGTCAATCCCGAGTGCATCAGTCCTCCTCCGTGAGTCATTGGAGGAGACTGTTGAGCATGAAGCTCGAAATGATCCCTTTGGTCTTCGTGAATGTCTTTGCTTGAATCAACTGGACCTGAAAATAAGGGAAAACTTTTATACGTTATCACTATCAGCGAATGATAATGATATCGTTGATAGAGGAGGTTAGAAATGAGAATGTATTCTAAAATCAGTCGATTAGAAATAAGCGTGATCGGTTGGAAGGACACTTCTCAGGCATGAAGGGCTAGTCACAGATATATTAGAAGCAGAAACAGGAGTTAAGAGGAGTACAGGTAGAGCTATAGTTGCGACGTTCAATATTGGTATAGTCCGCAATAAAACTGTCGCATTTACTTTCTTCTTTCAACTTACTATATAGACTAGAGCGGTTGCTTACAGAACGCCTACTTTTGCTTACGACAGACGTAGCGAATATCGTAAACATAGAAAAGAGATGGCAGGTATAAATTGCAGCGGACACTAATGAAGAAAAAGGAATAACATTACACCAATTGATAAGTAACAGAAAGAGATGCAGGCAAGCAATTTTTGAGCATTTTGCCAGCAATGGACTTTAAAGAAAGTTTAAAGATATAATTCCAAGCAGGCAGTTATAAAGCCGACCCTGATCTTTTGCGTGTCCTCTGCACCATTTACTTTTATTAGGTTATCTCTTTTCACTTTGTCTGTACTACTCATGAAGGAGTTCCTAACTTAACAAGAGCGTGTTCAAAACGTAGCAAATGACTAAATTCCCAAGTGGAAACAAGAAAGAAGATACGTCTATTCTCAGAGATAATTTACTACGGACTTTGCCAGTTTTGATCGTCCACATTATAGATTAGGTTATTGTTAATAAATAGTTAAGGATGGTTTATGGAGATGCGAAGATTATCTCAGGATAGGAAAAAGCGAAGGTGCGTGTCCAACCAGTCTTAAGACTGATGACCTTATGATAGTGACGATGATGTTGATCACTATTAACGGTGTAGTTTTTGTTGTGTCATTAGACACTGAAATTCTACAATGTTCTCTACAATAATCTCATTCCTTGTTAAATTTTATTAACGACAAAATTATTGATAAATAGTGTCCTTGTGGCATTCATCCGTCAATAAATAATATTATTCTTCCAAAATGGAAAGATATGTATATATTTAAGTATCCTTACCTATGCTTCCATCATTACTCGAGTAATCGTAATAACCATTTGGAGAAGTTTCCCCATGGAGCTCCTCGTCGATGTTATTTGGTCGGCAACTGGTCGTCTTCCAATGGGTCCTTAATCCAGAAGCACTAATGTAATTCTTTCCGCACTCTTGGCAAATGTACGGTCTCTCATTGGTGTGTAGTCTTTTGTGTAATTTCAAATGTACAAACTGAGTGAACTTCGCTGGACAGAAGTCGCACGCGTACGGCTTCTGTCCGCTGTGCAACCGAAGATGCGTCTTCAGGTTCGACGTAGACGAAAATCGCTTCTTACAAATGCCGCACTCGTGTGGTCGTTCTCCGGTGTGCACCAAATGGTGCTTTTGGAGATGAGCAAGTTGAGTGAACGATTTGGTGCAGACGTTGCATTTGAACGGTCTCTCTCCGCTGTGAGTTCTCAGGTGAACTTTCAAATTGGAAAGCTGACCGAACGTTTTGCAGCACACGTTGCATTCGTAGTGCATTTTTCCGTCTTTCTTTTTTAAAGGATAAGGGAGGCTCCTATAACCCCTCGAAGCAATGCTCGAATTGGGATGTTGAGGACTGACACTCCGACTACTCATTCCCCTGTCGGGACTCATCGAATGAGTAGGTGAAAGCTTTCCGTTTCCGTGTTGCGGCGGTGTCAATGGAGTCAGAAGATGATGTGTCAAGTTTGACGTGATTATGTGGGAACTTGGAATGATTAAGTTCGTTGAGGTGGGATGATGGGATCCCACGTAGTTGGTACTTATGGGGGGAGAATACGTAGACGTGGGTGTCGCCGTTGTTATGTTGGTGTGGATTATTCCATTCGATGATGGATAGATGCTGTAATAATTAGCAGGTTGCACGTGGTTGTTGTAACCATCGTTTGTGTGTGATACGTATATTGTTGCGGAAGATGGTACGGGACTTGGGGAGTGATTTTTTAACAAACCCGGGCTTGTTGACATTGGGGCATTGGAAACTGCTAAGTTGGAACTCGAGTCCGGACTACATGGCATGGCTCCGTACCGGTGACTCTTTTTGTACGAGTAAGCCATTTCCGTGGGAGAGCTTGGAGGTGGTGTGGCATCCGGTTGTCGCTGGTTACTGTCGTTGTTATTGTTGTTAGAATCAGTCCTGTTCCTCAATAGAATATTCTCCAAGATACTTGAAGAAGGAGGCGTGTATCTAGTAATAATTGTCTGAGTTTTTACCTCGGGCTCGTAGAACGGTTTGTTATTAGGAACTTCAGGTGGTGGTGAGTCTAGGACTATCACCGTGTTAGGGGGTGTGACGATTCTCGGTACCAAAGTCGTCACTTCCACAACGTTAGTATCGCCGTGAGTCAAATCCTTCTCCGACTCATGGTCGCTTTCCACGTTTTTGTTCGATTTATAGTGATAAGCTTTTGTTATCTTAATCTTGACCTTGCGGTACTCGTTTTTCTGGGCTTCGGGGGAGAGGGGCGACTGTTTAATAACCGTCGTTTCTTTGGAATTCGTTTTCTTACTGGAAATCAAAGTAAATAGAATTAATAGAATAGAATAGAATTTCTTTGACAAAGATTTCGACTCACCTAAAATCGAGTACATAATTATTTTCACTGTCCGAGTCACTGGAATCTTCAGGGGGTGTAAAAGCGTCATCGTGATAGCCATGGCTGTGATACCCTTCGTCAGATCTCACGCTGCCATCTGTTGGAGTGAGTTGGTGTTCGTAGGCACCGTCTTTCCCGGAAGAAACGGAGTCAATCACAGTGCTGACAGTGATTACTTCTGATGATTGCTGGACTTGTTGACCTGCAAATACTATCATTTGTACCACAAATATCAGGACAATCCCCATAGATTATCTTCAAACTTTTCAATCTAAGATTAATAGGCAAATATTAATGCTGGGAATTTAGTGCAAGCTAATAATTTTTGATAGAATGCGCCGATTGAATATCATTACAATTATTACAGAAAAGAACTTTAAGTACTTGTTTTCTTGTAAAGACAGAAAAGTTTTGGAATGCGCAAGACTCTTTCAGTTTAATCTTAATCGTGATTTAGTCTTGCAGAGGTGGTCTAGTCTTTGATTTTGATCCCATGAATTAAATTTCAATCTTCTTGGCAGTTATTTACATTTAACGAATGTTTAGATAAGATTTTGCTCATTACTCAAATATTTTTTAATCTTCGTCACAAATGTACAGAAATTTTTCTCATCAACTTGAGGTAATTTATAGTTTATATAAACAGAAAATGAATGTTCACATTAATATTTGATACAGTTCAATTTTTTATATTTTACCAAGAAATAATTATTTTCTAAACTTGCATTTAGACTTACGTATCCTTTGTAGCATTTGTTCTCCAGTCAACGGATAATTCAGTCTTTCGGCAAATTCCTTACAATACCACACAAGTAATTCCTGATTTGGCAAAATTGGTTTAATCGTGTAAAAATATATGTTCATTTTGTACTGACACGCTATGAGATTTTGAGATTCACTAGAGTATGCCGGGTTCACGTATCGCATCCAGTTGGCCTTCGAGGTATCGTACCCGTCAATGTAGTAAAATAATTCATTGTCTTTGTATATCTGCAAAGGATATAAAAACAAAGTAATTAGTAAATGACGGGATTTCTTAATAATCGTGACGCTTCAGGCACACCATGCATCGCATATTACTACATCAGCAATGCCTTTTTTTATCTTATCTACGGCGGTGGCCTATTCATTGCAAAAGCAATAACCTTCAGTATCCACCAAATCAAAATTGGCATTTGACAAAATTGGATTGAAATTTTATCATTGGAATGTGTAGGAAAGTGTATCATTAAATAATGAAACTAGTACGAAACGTAAAATGATAAAAATAAGAAATAACGGGTGCTATGGAAGTCAATCCACAGAAGGAGACATGAAGGATACCTTATAAGGCTTGAAGGACTAGAAACAGGGGTAAAAAGGGACAGTAGCAGGCTTGGAATAGGAGGGAGTGAAAGTCCAGTCATGGGACTGACAATCCCAAAATAATATGATAACCAGTAATAGAATTTCTTAGGTAGGAGGTTTGATGAAGTGGAAAAGACAATTTATTATAATTAGTAAAGGTACTTAGTTTGAGGAGATTCATGCAACACCTTAACCTTAACCTTAATCATTGTAATTCTTTCATACAAAAAGGCTTTATAGGAACCTCCCTAAACAATTGAAACTTCCAATATAATTTTATTAGTATCTAAAGATTGCCCTATAAACTAGCGTGAAATACAACAAATCATTCATAGTTTCCGTTGTGTTTAACAAAAATACCTACCCTCCAAAAATACTTCCTGTTTGCAGAACTCGGTACTGCATCTTTGGCATAAATTTCACCTACAAGAGGACCAAATCTGGTGCCTCTAGGAATGTAACCCGTACTCCAAACCCCTTGAGCCTGCAACAAAAGTCTTTAAATTAAAACCGAATAAAACACTCGGGACTAGGAAAAGGGAAGCGCTTAATAAATTATTAATGTTTTACTGGTGGTAAATATCCATACTTAAATAATTAAACAAAGAATCTATTTCTGTAGCACAATTAAATAAATAGGAAGAAACGAAAACACAATGAGACCTTCGCAATAGAGAAGAGTTGAATAAAAATGAGAATAACAAAATAGGAAGATATTAAACATTTCCTGAAGATTCACTATTCCTTTCTCTTTTTTCTTTATTTTATTTTAATTTAATCACAAGACACGTTTTTTTATAAAAACACATCACATTTCCGCATAATTCTCTTTAATTCAATGATGAATTGTTCTCTGGACATGTGATAGTAACTGACAACATTTAACCATTGCAATAGCGCCTAATAACCATTTGGTTGCTATTAATAGTATCCGTCTTTTTTTCTGCGCTTTTTTTAACCACTAATGAATTTATTTATGATGTTTTACATTAATTATGCAAACTTAATATTTCCAAGTACATACGTAACAATATGTATGAATATATTATTTTAATTTATTATTATTAAACAACTAAAAAGTTAATAAATTTCAGGGTACACAGAATAAAATTTTCGGAAAAATACCTAAATACAAGGTGTTTACGTTTTCTTTTTATGACTTTTCGTTGACTGAACTTGTCAACTTTTCAGGTAAATGTTAATTGTGAAAACAGTCGTTAATCAATGAAATAATTTAAAATGAATATCCATGTGGTTGTTTCAAAAGAATTACGTCACTTACATCTGAAAGCGCTTGAGAGGGTTTGAGAACAAGATTCCTTGGAAGGGTAGCTTCAGCCCTGTTGGGTGTGCCAGGGTCCACCGGAAGGTCTGGCGCAATGAATGTTGTATGAAGCTCGAACTCCTCTTCCCTAATATTGTGCGGATCAAAATCGCCGGCAGACGTGACTGCCGCATCATCCATGTTATCCTGAAGCAACAATAAATTGATTGTTTCCTATGTAAATTTAAATTATAACATTATTATTAACATTTTAATCAGTGTGACCACTAACTCTACATCTACTCAGGATGATAATGAGTACCAAAGAATAATTATAACTTTGTGAAAAGAGCGTACCATTAAAAAATGGTTAGCTACTGATATTATTTTAGGAATAAAGTAAGAATAGTATTTATTTAACAAAGAAGTTATACATTCATCAAAATACACCGAAAGCGCTTATGATACACATGGAAACATCCTTACTATTTCTAAAACCTTCACACAATTTCCAATATTATTTACTACAGAAAATACTACAAAAGTGCTTTTTTCCCTTTCTCCTTTCCTTTGAAACTTAAACCCTATTTTCACTTGTTTTATTTATATAATCTTCCTCACCCTTCTTGCTATCCTACCCTTTTTCTTAAAATTTTAATACTGATGTACACAGTAGTACTTAATAGTCGCATTTAAGTAAAACAAAATATACCATAAGACATTTAAGTTTATCATGTAAACAAAAAATTTTCATAAGTATTTCTAAAAAACCTTCATCTAACTTTCAATTTTAGATTAATTTTAAGAGTAAACTATATACATATATTTGAAGCTTCTGGTATTAATAAATAATATTTATATTTCTAGAATTTCTGGTGTATATAAGGAAAATTTCTGGTATACATAAGGAAAATTGTTATTTAAACATAATCAAGTAACATTCTACAGAAGAAGCTTTATTAGTGTATGGATATGAAATTATTTGGGATGAAGAAATAAATTTGACACTATCAAATAAAGAATTAATTATTGTTCAACATAAGCTTCCTCAAAGCTGTATCTTTGTATTGAATTAAATAAAAATAGTCAAAAAGAACGGTAATAGAAGAAACTTGCACTGAAAGAATGTCTACAAAACAATATCGAAACGTTAAACAATTATTATGTGTTAATAATAACATCATACCAATTAACTGTAATAAATTTTAATTTTGTGGTTTACCTACAAAAAGTGCACCCGGCACCTCCACCAAAATGTTCAATAACAGGTCATTAATTTATAACGTATATGTGCCTATTTGAAATATTTTATTAAAATAAAGTGATTATTAATTATAATTACAGTAATATAAAGTAAGTACATTATTTTTTCAGTACATTCAGTTATGTCTTGACTTATATATCCACGTGTTGTAACAGTTATAATGAAAAGGTCTAATTGTTACTCAAAATACAAAAGAATTAATAAGTTCTGTTTCTAATATTAACAGTTTATAAGTAATAAAATTTATTTATTATGTAAAGTTTTCGGAATAGGAACCCAAAGTTTAAATGCTGGAATTAACATTAGAATCATTTTCTGTACAATATTCTAGAAAGTAGACGTTTATCTTAATTTGTTATTGTGTTAGAATACATACATTACTTATCAACAAAAACCTTCATTTTTAAATAGTGCAAATAACGTTAGCAATGCATTCTAATGCACATTTTTATTTAAATTAGCTATCAATAAAAATGAATATTGGAAGAATAGGGAAAATCTATGATTTACAGATTACTTTAGTATTACGATTTGCCTCTGAATATTAGAAAAAAGACATAAAAATATAAACTGATTGTCTTCATTTTTGTTTAAAGCAGAATTATGACAAAAATTTTGATTTCTGTAAGTAATATAAAAGCTAGAGAAACTCAGAACCTATTAGAATGTATCAAAGGCTGCTCTCCTAGTTCATTTTTGGTTTAAAATTCAATATCTACTTGTTGTTAGATAATAATTTACCAGACATTCAATTTTCCTTACGATTTATATTTTCTTTTAACATTTCTTTAAATATTCTACTTGTTTTAATATTAAATGTGTATTAACGACAATTGCAATTCTTATGCCAAAAGGTTTGACTTTTTAAAAGAGAAACATAAACTCATTTGCGTTCTATGATTCTACCAATTAATTAATATTTCAATTTCAATAAAATCCATTGAAATTTACCTATTTTTCTTTCAATTTCAAACAAAGTAGAAAAAATGAACTAAAATAATTAATCGTTTTTTACTGAAAATAACAAAGCGAGCTTGTTAATTAATTAAAAATGTCGTACAAAAAATTTGTAATATACACATATGGATGCCACATGGCTCATATTGACGTATTGTAAATACATGCATACGTATGTATAACTGCAAGGCATATTTGTGTGCGTTTACTTGTATAAGTGCATTTGTTAAATATGCAATTCATTGATAATATCCGCAGTTAACGGGCGAAGGTCAATGTTATTTTCATTACTTTGACCTTGCTATTGCAATATATGCACCGAGTTGCCCGTTTAGGTCAAGCAATTTTCTGTCTGCCTTCTGATCGTTACATAACAGGAAAATTTGCACTGAAATTAAACATTAAAAGATCACTAAATCTTTGCGCAACAATCTGTTCTAATCTCTCTTTCCTATCCTCTCTCGTTCTATGATGTATGCATGTCTATCGTCTTATTAAATAATTAGAAAATTATGCAGTTCGTAGCAGTGCAGATAACAACTAAATATCTAATAAATGTAAATTTTTTATGATACTCTGTAAAAGTAGAAGTTCAGTTTTCCTATAAGTATCAAATTGTATAAGTACTGTGGTTGTAGAAACGACCCTTTACCTCTCATTTTTACGCCGAAAGGAAAAAAAAAACTTTTGGGTGTTTCATTCCCACTAGCCTGTAATGCTGGTGGGCGGGCAGTCCCTCTGGACTACGCCGGAAGGTAGGGCGGAAGGCCCTCTTCAGCCTGCTTTCAGGAATCGTGAGAATGGGTGGGTGGTGGTTCGGGTGAGAAAGATGAAACGGACGAAATGAAGACAGAAGAGAATGAAAGATTTATCTGTGGCATATTACTGCCTCAGCATTTGCCTAAGTGATCCAAGGAAACCACAGAAAAACTTGGACCAAAGCAGACGGACCCGAAATAGAACCGACGTCCTCCCGAATGCTAAGCAATGATCTAAACCTCTAGGATCCCTCTACATCCTTACAGAAAATGGTCTCCTGTCAAACTCTTTTACACTTTAGATTCTGGTAGTTCTGAACGTATTTAATACGTATAATAGGTACAATTGTACCTTTCACGGAGAAAATGAGAAACGAAAATTTATCTAAATATTAAAGCGATATTTACAATTTATCCCACTGGCCCATTGCTTCGTAAACGAAAATAATAAAAATTACAATTTGGACCCGAATTTGTAAAAATAAAACCCAGCAGAAATAAATTTACTGGGTATTTTAGTTGATATTACAAATTAAACTGTAATAATTAAGAAACTTAAAATAATTTTTAAAAATACATGTCAAAATTGAGATTATTAATCTGTCATTTACATTCGAAAATTGTAATTTTTATATTGTTATAAAAATTTAGCTTTCTTCATGTTGAGGTCCTTACGGAAGAAAGCAACTTTAAGGACATTTTTTACGACTTAACGCCCATTAAGACTTTTAATCTACACATCGAGAATACCAGAATATAAACTTTCAAGGAATTTTACAGGAGGACATTTGCCATAAGGATATAGAGGGGTCCTTTAGATGAAAGCGCAAACCATTTTCTTTTTGTTCTTTCATGTCGGCTCTGCGATTTTTCCGTTTAGTCTTTCATCAACCCTCTCTAGTTATTTTGTTCTCATATCGTTATCGAAATCGCCTCAATTTCTCATTATCATAGGGTGCCTATATAATTAATAGATTAACAAACGTTTTTCTGAATGCTGAACGCCGTATTGTTAGAAAGCTTAGTTGTAAGTGAGAAGATGTTGTAATGAAGCGATAATCCTTAGAGGGCGAGAAAGGGTGTAGAAACCGTCTATAGAAAAGGGTATCAGCGCGTACTATTCGTTGTATATAAACCTCTTCGCTTTCCCTTTGCCGCCACCATCTCGATGTTTCCGCGCCTATTATGATGCAAGTGAAAGGGGATGTGGGTCAGTAGAATGCAGTTTATCGACCGTCGGCGTCGTGACGCCCAATGCAATCTCGCAACGTCACCGTATAACCGTGACGTCACATACGTAAAATCGTCTTGTTAGGCGGAATTTCTGCGTTTTGAGCTTGTCTTTTTTACAAGAAATAACAAACAAAAGTTGCTAAACCGTTTGCAACTAATGGCAAGTTGTGGTTGAATTTTGAGCGATTTGAAATTTTCTTTTCTTTAATTGACGAAATGATGAAAGTAAATGAAGGGTTGCAATCAACGCAAGTGCAGACAAAATGGCGGATAGTAGCCTTGCTGCAAACTTTTACTTTTCTGTAGCAATGAAATGTCAAAAATGGTAAAATTAATAAATCGTTAACGCCATTTCGCGTAAAATCGATCATGATTTTTCAATGCTTTATCTCTTATGCACATATATATAGCATACCAAACAAACAACTGCAAATCATGTGAATGATTACATTTCAAAATACCTTTGCTTACTACAATATCACATATTCTTTGTTAAACATTTATAGCTGTTTTGATAACTAATAGGGATATTCAAACTGATTTGAATTAAGCACTCAATTCCGTGCTGTCACCTCCATCAGAAAAGAACAAATTTTTTGAAACCAATACTTGCAAGTGGTTGAAAAAGAAGGCGAAGCTTTGGAGTATTTAAGTTAATAAAAAGCATCGCAAATTGCGATTTCTATCTTATTATATCTCATCAGCACGTCCTGTGAAATCTCCATACCCTAGACAAAAATTTTCAGTCTCTCAGAGTCTTCCAGCGTCTCTGAGATCGTCTCTCACAGTCTTTCACAATCTCTCAGTTATTGCCTAGGTGTTTTTATGGATTTCTTACAGTCTCTGTATGAGAGACTCGAACGATAAAATTGTTAATTCAGAGATTCGAGTCTTTCACAGAGAGACTGAATGAATAAAACTGAAAAATTGAGAGACTCGAGTCTCTTGTAGAAAGACTGGGATCTCTGAAATATGTTGAAGTTAGAAAATTTTAACCATGTCTATCGATACACCACTTATTGAGAGATTCGAGTCTCTCGTTCAGAGATTCGAGTCTCTCGTTCAGAGACGGGATACGAATTGAGGATCTCTCTATGAGCGACTCGAGTCTCTCGTTTAGAGACGCTAAACAGTTTTTTTGACAGTCTCTCGGCAGTCTCTCTCAGCGACACCAGAGAGATTCGATTAGAAACGGAGACTTGAGTCTCGCTTTCAGAGACTCTGAGAGACATTTTTATCTCGGCTAATCAAAAGGGAACATCTAGTTATCGCAGTTTATATATACAATTTGATCTACCTATATATCCGTAAATTATAATCTATAAGAGTCATGAGTATCCAAATGGTAACAGCAAGAGGAGCAGTTCAAAATTTTTTATTATATATATATATGTAGTCGTTTTTTTCATTGCTGTGGTCACTGTGCGATATTTGAGCTGACCTAAAATGCATAATATATTTAGCAAAAATTACATTCAGTACTTGTTCTCAATCGAGGTCACTAAACTAACCAAAATCATAACCGATCGTAATTAATATGATTACCGTGAACTAAAGACAACGGTATAAATATGTCGTAAATGTGCTGTTGAAGACCTCTAACGGAATTTATTACAGAAACGAAATGTATTCACGTTTTCGTTAAGACAACTACCGTACGTTAAATACTTCACTTCTTTGTGTAGTTACTTTTAAAATTTTTACACAATGACAGTAAATTATAATTATAGTTTACAATTACAATTAATGAATTAAAATGTAAACTCTAATAGAGTATAAAATAAAAACAGAATTGCACAAATGACATTAATATGCTTGATAGTAAATCATAAAGATGATGGACGTAGTACGAAACATCGTCAGATGCCACATTATCTCTCCCTATTTTATCGTAAGTTTTCAAGAAACCTTTTCATTGTCTATTGCAGAGAGTTAATTAATATATCGGTTTTAAAACAAACCAGTCGATTTGAAGTAAATATCCTTTGGATATAATGAATTCTGAAACGCTAAATTACCAAATCCCCATATTTCTCTGACCTATTCATATAAACAATAACAACTTTTTAAAGATAGACTGAGATATAATTTGAGTTTTATAGTGAACTTAATGCAGAAAAATCCATAAAAATATTATATAATTATTTTTATCCTCCTCATTCAATATAAAATATAACACAGGCATAAAAAAGTGCATGGTCTTATAGTTGAGAGTTAAATACAATAAAAACAAAAATATTTACATAGAAATCTACCTTAACCTTTTCTAAAGAGTTTATCATCAGGTCAATGTTTAGACCTTATACATTTAAAGTATACAACACAATGAATGATGTCATAAGACAACTTTCCTCCTTTCTAGAAACTTACACTGATGTTCTGTTTTACAAATATGGTTAACTATTTAAACATATTATAATTACAACAATTATTATAGGTAAAACTAATTTATAATAAGTATAGAAGAATATGTTACATACCTGTCTCATGTTTTGCTCAATAGCGTTAGAATTCATTCATTCTTTTCTAAAGCCTGAAAAAGAAATAACAAAATATTAAAATTTGTTTAATTGATAATTGGATGCATTTCAAAGATTTGATAAAAAATCAATTTCAATTTGTATTATTTCAGTTTATCGTATCATATTCTAATCACAATGTTTGTTCATTTGACACGAATGGTAAAAATTTGCAATAATTGTAGAAAATATTGAGGTAACAAATATTGGCAGCTCTGAAGGCTAAAAGGGAAGGCAGAAAAACGTTTTCACGATTAATGTTAGATATCAGATACACTAAAATTATTAAAATACGAATTTTCAATACAAGACTAAACAAATCAAGAAAAAAGTCCACAAAATCCATTTATAATACCGTTCAAGCTTGACGATCTCAATAGTAGCCCACCAACTCAAAATGTTACAGGCAGCAAAACGATGAAGAACCATCAAAAGAATATCAAATATTATCACTGAAGAGGGAAGTAACAAGTTCATCGAATGAGATGCTTCATCACCATAGGTGAGACCTGATTTCATATGGGTAATTGCAATAATAAACAAAGACAATGCCTTAGCATAGACCAAAGGAAACCACAATTTGAAATCATTGACAGAAGAAGAAATCGCTCCAACGGATTTATAGTACGGTCGACGCCATTTATAGATAATAATTGCAGAATTCGTCTTTATTTTTTGATCCAACAGCCCATAATATACTCAGATTTGTCAGATATCAGAAATGTCTTCAAGAAATTTTTGGCGAGGAATGCCCGCTGTCTTTTTCTAAATGATAAGCTTGTGTTCCATTAATATTCTGCGCCCACACATATTTCTAAGAAAACCTAGGATTCTTTGGAGAGTTGTGATGGTCTTTTCCTTTCTGGTGGTGGATCAAAAGCGGGTTTTGTAGGTGTAGAATTAAATATATGATATTGCACCATCACATATTTGGAGCAAAGCGAGCGTAGCCAGCAAAGCTCTCATAACATGACTCCAATGAGAATTCAAATTTTTGACCAAATAAAGAAGTTACGAGTGATTAAAGTCTGTCTATGGGAAATCCTATGTTTGCTCATTTACTGAATAATCTGTTCCAATTAGTTAAGCCTTCTTATTTTCAGTCAAAACATCAAAAATCGGCTCTCTGGAATTGATGTAACATTCAGTTGAAAAACCCATTACAATGAGATACAAAAAGGTTATGACATATGTATTTGGCTCGCGTTTGTTATTATAATGGATCTTTATAGCTGATGAACAATGGGTTTACAATAAAAAATATTTTTAATTCATGCAGTTAGGATTAAAATAGCTTCGCTTTAATATACACTGCAGGGAAGCAATATGCTTAGAGACAGCGGCGACCCTTGTCTTTAGAAGACCCAAGAGTTCTTGAAGAGTTTCGATGGTCTTTTCCCTTCGGGGGTGGATCAAAAGCGCGTTTTGCAGATGCAGAATTAAATAAATGATAGGTTTGATACGTGGGGTAAGGACAGAATTGTCTCGAGAATTCCTCAACAAATCTCTTTAATCATAACCTCAGAGGGTATATTTACTATAGAATATATATAACCATTAATAAAAACAAACTTATAAAGTGAAACTGCAGTAGAATCCGCTTATAATGACATCGAAGGGAAACACGTCATACTAAGCGGGCGTCATACAAAGCACAGTCTTAGAAAATAAACAACTTTCTATTTTGGTTAGTTATTTAGTTTAATAGAGAGAAAAATTAAAATTGTATATATTTATTAATAGAAAGTAAGTACATTATTTTTTCAGTACATTCAGTTATGTCTTGNTATTATTAGTGAATCATTATATCATACCAATGATAGTAATATCAATATACATAAGAAGGGTCAGAAAAATGAGCGAAAATGTTACTATTAATCATTTGGATCACTATAGCCGGATATGATTTCTTGAGAATCAGTCATAATAAACGATACGTCATTTTAAACGGAGTCATTATATCCAAACTTTCCTACAGAGAATTTAATATGAAAACCAAACTTAACACCGCAATTACTTCATATTAAGCGGTTGGTCAATATAGGCGGAGTCATAATAAACGAATTCCACTGCAGTTTATTTAAAAACAGATCGTCAGTAGTTTACTGAGCCTCTGCAATTTGCGGTAGACATGGCACTGAAGTAAACTATTTTCTGCAAACCATATTGTTCATAAAAACTGCATTTATATATGCAAATATAAACTGTATAGGATTGGACGAAAACGTGACCGTATCCAAAGAAATTTATTATAAGTTTCTTGGTCTTGGTTTCGTTTTTGTTAAATATAAATCGGGCTACACGATATAGTTTTCGCACTTGGTGCAGTTAATTTCTCACTAATAATAGTGCAAGGTTGAGAGATGGCTTTGACGTCACCACCTATTGCAACGCATCTCTATTAGCACGTTGCATTTCCCGGCCTCCTGTCCTTTTCCATCAACCTTGTAACTAGCCGCCTGCCAATGCACATGAGACCCTGACTGCGTTTATAATTTCAATGTTAGAAATATTAATAGCGAATGCGAAAACCGCCGTGTGCATGTTATAACCATTTTCAAATGCACTGTCACTTTTTAAACGTCTAAACGGTCACCTACCATCAAGCACTTTTATATTCGTAATGTATATGCCACAACGAATTCGGATAGATCGCTACTTTCAATTCTGTCTAGGCATATTCGGAAAAACTGCTAATTGGTTACATAGTAAGTTACGAATTATAATCTCAAACAAATTTTAAAATTCTGAGTATATAGATAGCACTCAAGTACGGTGAATAACGAACAAAACAATGGTAAAATATTTTTTTTAACTCTAATTACATATTCCTCTTGGAAATGAAAGAATTGATTTTTCAAATTGATTGTAACATATTATTATAAACAAATAAATGCCAATTTATCTATACATCTTTAGTTTCAATTTTTTATATGTGTATTTGTTAGTTTTTCAGTTAACCGTGAACAAAGCTCTTATTTAATTAAAATATTTAATCAATAGTCACCAATTTTACATATTCAAGGTGGAAGAAAATAATTGAAAAAAAAAAGCGAGCGGGTCTAAATGTAATGTATAGTTGGGTGCATACATTGCAATGAATTCTCATAATCATTGAATTTTTCTTTGACGTGATATCATATACATGCACACTAAAGTATGCATTATAGGTACAATTATAGAAAAATGCAAAAGGATAAATGATACACATTACGGGGATAGGTTAGGTTACGGTAGGAATAGTTTCTGCCAAGAAGTAGCTTTCATTTTTTAAAAGTATCAAGATTCGGTCTCATTATTTATTATCCTTAGTCCTTCATAAACATTAGAGTATGGCTCATGGTCAATAACAAAAATGTATAGAAACTGTGCAATTGTAAAAAAAGCAAGCTCTTAAAATAAATGTAATGTTAAAACAATGATAAATTCTTCACTGCAATTAGTACCTTAAAGTGTTAATTAAAAGATAAAATAGTAGATACATCATTTATCATTTAGATTAAGGATGTAATTTAATGTAAATACTAATTTAGATTAGATTTAGTTGAAGATTTGCTAACACCTTGATGATGAAAACTCTTATAGGTATAATTTAGAGAAGATTACGGAAAAAATATAAAATTTTAGAGCTATTTATGCTGTATTAGTAGAAACTTGTGACTAAAATTTATTTAGATAAAGTATTTCTCCACTAACAACCATGTAATTTACACAATTAATGAAATTATAAATATTAAACGTATTATGTGTAATTGTGAATATTCTCTCCGTAAAAAAGTAACTGAAATTATATTTTATTATAATTGTTGTTTTAGTAATGGTCGGTTATGGCAAATTTATTGGATATTTGTAGTTTATCGCATTGAAGGATCAGTTACAGTACTACAACAATGTTTACAATTAATGTTCCTTTTGGGATTACCTTATGCATACCATGCTACAATATTAACGGCCTTCAACACAAATTTAACTTGTTATATTTTGTGCATGTGTTATGGATTATGTATATTTTAAATTTGCAATGCCATGGATGTAAGAAATAACTGTTTTCATCAAATCTTCGTGGAAAACTACAATTGAAACAAACATTAATACAATTTTAACGATAAAAGTCTGCTAAAAATGAGCTGAATTTATAATTTTCTAGTCCTAGCGTTATGTAACAGCTCTTGTTATTTTCTGCATCCAAACAATTAATTGTTTATCATATATAGATAATAAATTTACTGCTTTAATTGAAAGTATTAGTACTTATTTATATATATACACCTAAAT